ACCTTCACCAGCATAACCACCTTCACCAGCATAACCACCTTCACCAATATAATCACCTTCGCCAATATAATCACCTTGACCAGTATAACCACCTTCACCCGTATAACCACCTTCACCAGCATAACCACCTTCACCAGTATAACCACCTTCACCAGTATAATCACCTTCGCCAATATAATCACCTTCACCAGTATAATCACCTTCACCAGTATAATCACCTGCACCAGTAAAACTACCTTCACCACCACAATGACCACCAAGAACATCACCGTAAGCACCTTCACCAGCATATTCACCACCAAATTCACCACCATATTCACCACCATATTCACCACCATATTCACCACCATATTCACCACCATATTCACCACCATATTCACCACCATATTCACCACCATATTCACCACCAAATTCACCAGCATATTCACCACCATAATCAACACTATTATTACCACCATAATCTTCACCATAAGAGCCACCATCATCACGACCATAATCACCACCATAACCGCCACCATAACCACCACCATAATAACCATCCTCATAATCAGCTAACATTTCAATAGCCGCGTTTCGACTTATTAGTTGTTCCGGACTACTTCTAATAGCACCCAAAATTTCAATATTTTCATTGCCGTTTCCATTACTACCTAGGTGGTCAACTGCTCCTGCGTAACGTACCATTCTATTGTATGGCCTGCCAGACGAGTGAGCACCTATTGATTCGTAACTGATACTCCTTGCAGACACGCAATTCAACACAAGAATTACGCTTACGAGACGGATTAAAAGTTTCACCTAAAATTTTTTTATTCAATACAGAAAATTGGCTCTCAAACGGATTTTTCACATACCATTTTACCCACTGTTCAGTTTTACGATTTTGTCTTCAAAATTTCGATTTCATGATAAGACTTGATAGGTGACTACCTTAGTATTGAACTATTATAACTTCTAGAGGGGATTTTATACTGATCATAGATAGTGAAATTCAGTTCGAAGTGAAATTTACTGAATAACTTAAAACAGATGTTCATTAACTTCTTATGCTTGATTTCTATTATAAGAAAAAGTATGTAAGCTTATAATCTGACATATCAGTATATATTATTTTAAAATTGTATACTGAATATTTCATGAAAAAATTTTGTTGATAGAAATATTTTCGCTTTATTCGATATTGACATTGTTAAATTCCGATTCTTTTGTAACTGTGGTTCAAGTTTCAACGATAACCATGAATAAATTCGGATGATCTGTCAGGTTCTCAAATTTTTAACGAAACTTTTGGATGGTTTTACTTTTGCCCAAAAGTTACTCAGTTAGTATCGTTTCTTAGATATCCCTTATTGATAAACCAGCGATCAAAAATTAATTTCCTTATAGATCAATTGTCACAATTCGAGTTCGTCTCATAAGAACCTCTAAATGACTCACATACGTAAATCAATGGCAAACGTTATTTAATAGTGTAATAAACGTCTGTGGCAACTATTTTCTTCTTTATTATGGTGACTGTATTTCATTTCACACAAACGAGTTTACTCACGAAAAACACTTGACAAATTTCTGGTTCGTGATTAACGTAGTAAACATCTGAAAATATTGCGGAGAAAAATGTTTATAAAAAAATTTGGGGAATTCAGTATGATAGGAGTTACTGATATTTGCAAAAATTGCTGGAAAGTGCCTTCTCGCTTGAAAAATTGACATATTTCCTGCAGTTGACACTGGACTGTAAGTGTCATTCACAACTTTCAAATTTGGAAAAATCGTCTGGATTCAATTGATGCCATTTTCATTGCAAATATCAATTTCTCTTGTAATGTTTATATCTAACTAAAGCGAAAATTTTAAAAAGTTATTAGCAACATTATTAATAGCTTCAACTGCAAGTTTTACAATGAAGACCATTCTTAATAATACAGAAAGGCATATTTAAAAATACAAGCCTCAAAATGTGAACTTTTCTTTATGAGGAATATAAAAGACAGAAATAAAAAATATAGAACTGCATAATTCAAGAAATTGTATTGCTATATTTACTTTCAATTTTTAGAAGATACAAATCGCTTATTCATTTGACATTTATTAAATTGCTACAGCCTTTGAAATTAGTTTACAAGCGTTTTTATAAACTACTTATTCCACTGATTCATAATCACCGCCAACAGAATTACCTTCACCAGTATAATCACCTTCACCAGTATAATCACCTTCACCAGTATAATCACCTTCACCAGTATAATCACCTTCACCAGTATAATCACCTTCACCAGTATAATCACTTTCACCAGTATAATCACCTTCACCAGTATAATCACCTTCACCAGTATAATCACCTTCACCAGCATAATCACCTTCACCAGTATAATCACCTTCACCAGCATAATCACCTTCACCAGTATAATCACCTTCTTCAGTATAATCACCTTCACCAGTATAATCACCTCCACCACCACAACTACCACCTAAATCATCATCGTAAGCACCTTCACCAGCATAATCACCATCATATTCACTACCATAATCATCACTATTATCACCACCATAATCTTCACCATAAGAGCCACCATAATCACCACCATATTCACCACCATAATCAGCACTATTATCACCACCATAATCAACACTATTATCACCACCATAATCTTCACCATAAGAGCCACCATAATCACCACCATAATCACCACCATAATCACCACCATAACCGCCAGCATTACCACCACCATAATAACCATCCTCATAATCAGCTAACATTTCAATAGCCGCGTTTCGGCTTAATAGTTCTTCCGGACTACTTCTAATAGCACCCAAACTCTCAATATTTACCCTGCCGTTTCCATTACTACCTAGGTGGTCAACTGCTTCTGCGTAACGTACCATTCTATTGTATGGCCTGCCAGACGAGTGAGCACCTATTGATTCGTAACTGATACTCCTTGCAGACACGCAATTCAACACAAGAATTACGCTTACGAGACGGATTATAAATTTCTCCTAAAATTTTTTTATACAATACAGAAAATTGGATCTCAAACGGATTTTTTACATACCATTTTAGCCACTGTTCAATTTCACGATTTTATCTTCAAAATTTCGATTTCATGACAAGATTTGATAAGTGACTACTTCAGTACTGAACTGTTATTACTTCTAGAAGGGATTTTATATGGATCGTATATAGTAAAATTCAACTAAAAGTAAAATTTACTGATAACTAAAAACAGATGTTAATTTCCTTTGCTTGATTTCAATAATAAGAAAATGTAACTGGAATGGATAAGTAATCATACAGAAACGCATTACTTAAAAGTCTGGTAGTGAATAAATATATCTGTTAATTCTCTAAAAATCATTTTAAAAATTAATATAGAATATTTTCTGAAAAGATTTGGTTGATAGTAACGTTTTCGCACTATTCGATATTGATATTGTTAAATTCTAACTCTTTTGCAAGTCTGGTACGTATTCCAATGACGATGATGGTATTCGGATGACAAGCAGTAGAATATATTCATTGGTTAATAATTTCATTACTATTAGGTGGAATATGTAGTATTCACACTTACACCCCTTAAATTTTAAATTAAACTTTTGGATGGTTTCAGTTTATTCCATAAGTTAGTCAGTTAGATTTGTTTCTTAGCACCCTTTTTGATAAAACTGCGGTCAAAAATTTACTTCCTTATAGACCAGTTGCCAGTGACACATAATTTTATTTGCATAAAATTAACAACACATTATAAATGTTAGTCACAATTTCCAGAACCGACACAGAAATCCAGAAAAATCTTCAGGATTCAATTTTTGTGACCTTGAGTTTTACTACCACTCTCTCGTATTATGATTATATCAAATTCAAGCAAAACTTTTAAAAATACTAGTTGTACAGTAAAGAGCATTCTTAATAATACAGAAATGTATCCTTGAAGAATATAAGCCTCAAAACATCAACCTTTCTTTATGAAGAATAAAAAAAGAGAAATTTAAAAATAAAAATGTATTATTCAAGAAATTAATATTCTATATTTGTTCTTAATATTTAAAAGATACATATTGCTTATTTATTCGTCATATGTAAAAATAGTAGAGCTTTTGAAATTGATTCAAAAGTGTTATACTCAATAACTTATTTCTTTTCAACTTCATCAGAAAAACCAACATCACAATCACCTTCATCACCATACTGACTTCGCAGTATGGATGATTCTTAATAAAATAGCCAATCATCAATGAAGAATATAAACGTCAAAATGTCAATAATTTCTTTATGAAAAATATAAGAGAAATATAAAACAAAAATGTATCATTCAAGATATTATGTCACTATATTCATTTTTAACATTTAGAAGGTACAAACTTCTCATTTATTGGACAATTATAAAATTACTAGTACCTTTCGCAAGTGTTATTATTACTCATTACTCATTTAATTTCATAACTAAAATCACCACCTTCATAATCATCACCACCTACATAATCATCACCACCTACTAATCATCAGCATCATCCTCATCACCACCATACTCAGCATAAGTAATATATTCTTCATTATCAACATACTCGTCATCATCAGCTAACATTTCAATTGCCACGTTTCGGCTAAGTAATTCTTCGGGACTACTTTTGACAGCACCCAAAAACTCAATATTTCCCTTGCCGTTTCCATTACTACCTAGGTGCTCAATTTCTCCTGCGCCTCGAGCCATTCTATTATGTGACCTGGCAGATGAGTGAACTCCTTTCGATTCGTAACTGATTCTCCTTGCAGATACGCAATTCAATACAAGAACTGCGCTTACGAGAAGGAATAAAAGTTTCACCTAAAATATTTTCATTCAGTAAAGAAAACTGGGTATCAAACCGATTTTTCACATACTATTCTAGTCATTGTTTAGGTTTCAAGTTTTTGTCTTCAAAATATCGATTTCAAGATAGGACTTGATAGATTACTGCTTTGGTACTGAACTGCTACAACTTCTAGAAGGGCTTTTATACTGTTTTTAGATAGTTTGATTCAATCAGAAGAAGTGAAATTTACTCATGACTGAAAACAGATGTCAATTAACTCCTTAGATTCGTAGTCATAAGTAACAGAAGAACTCGAAGTCTAAGAATGAATAAAAATAACTGATATCTGTAAAATTTATTACAAAAATGAGTATTTAGAGAAGGTAAAAATGAGATCGAATTCGAAATTAACAACTTTGCAACTTTGATTTCGTTCATTAAAGATATTTGTACAATTGACAAATCTGATATTTCAAGGTGAGAACTTACAGCAACCGATGAATTATACTTTATAAAACAACTTACCTGCGATTCAGGTTAGATATTTACATAATTTAAGAAAAATTTCTTTATAAAGAAATACGAGCAAATAATACCTCTTTCAAAGCGATTACATACTCTGCAACTGAAGAAGGAAATCTAGCCGAAACTGAAAGTAAAAAGCAATATTTTCTGAATATTAAACTGAATACAGTAAAAATATTATTAAGATGCGTGATGCAATTATGATCTAGCAAGTCCATTAAATTGGAATTGGAAAAAGAAACTAAGTAAGAACTGAGATTCAATCCCTAAAGTCTGCGGCAAAAGTATTTTCTTAAAAGAAAAGTGTTCTACAGACATTTAACATAATCAACTACAAAGTCCAAATCTCTATTGTTATAAGTTAAAGACCACCAAGTCCAAGAGAGAATCATTTTAAATGGCGCTTTAAAAGTGTTATGATAAAAATATATTAATCTTATCTACAATATACTACGTAGATCAGAACCTTAACACAACAATATTAAAAAAACGTTGACGCAGTTTACACGAAAGAATGCTTCATAAATCAAAAACGCAACGTCAGTAAAGAACTAAGAAAGATGTAGTCAAAACAATGTCTGATTATAATTCAAAAGATAATAATTATTCACAAATTTTCAAAAACTTCACCAAACTACAAGAACTTTAAAAATTGGTTGGAAAGTGATATTATCTATACCTATTTCTTATCATCATCACCATCATCAGATAGCATTTTAACAGACGCGGTACGACTTGCTAGTTCCACTGGACTACTTTTAACAGCACCTAAAAGCTCAATGTTTCCATTACTACCTAGGTACTCAACTGCTTCTGCGCCTATTGCCATTCTATTCGATACCCTGCCAGGCGAGTGATCTCCTTTCAATTCGAAAATGATTCTCCTTGCAAATACGCAACACAAAAACTGCGCTCAGAAGAAGCAATAAAAGATTCACCTAAAATATTTTATTCAATAAAATAAAATAGAACATCAAATCGATTTTTAACATACCATTTTTGCCACTGTTCAGTTTCACAATTTTGTCTTCAAAATATTGATTTCAAGATAGGGCTTGTTAGGGAATCAACTTAGTACTGAACTATTCGTATTTCTAGAGTGGATTTTATAGTGATCGTAGATAGTGAAATTCAACTAAAAGTAAAATTTACTGATAACTAAAAACAGATGTTAATTAACTTCTTATGCTTGATTTCAGTTATAAGAAAATTTAATGTAAGCTCATAATCTCATAAATCTGTATATATAATTTTAAAAATGAATATTAAATAATTCATAAAAATATTTTGTTAATGGTAATATTTTTGCTTTATTCGATATTGACATTGTTAAATTCCGATTCTTTTGTAACTGTGGTTCAAGTATCAACGATAACCATGAATAAATTCGGATGATCTGTCAGGTCCTCAAATTTTTAACGAAACTTTTGGATGGTTTTATTTTTGCCCAAAAGTTACTCAGTTAGTATCGTCACTTAGATATCCTTTTTTGATAAACCAGCGATCAAAAATTAATTTCCTTATAGATCAATTGTCACAAATCGAGTTCGTCTCATAAGAACCTCTAAATGACTCACAAACGTAAATCAATCACAAATGTTATCGGGTAGCGTAATAAACGTCTGTGGCAACCATTTTCTTCTTTATTATGGTGACTGCATTTCATTTCAAACAAGCGAGTTTAGACACGAAAAACACTTGACAAATTTCTGATTTGTGATAAACGAAATAAATTTCTAAAAGTATTGCGCAGAAATATATTATTAACAAGGTTTGGTGATTTCAGTACGATAGGAGTTAATAAAAATTGCCAAGTCTGCAATGAAAGCATTTTTTTATTTGGTGAATTGACGTATTTCCTGCAGTGAAACACTGCATAAAATTCACAACAGTTTATAAATGTTAGGCAGAACTTCCAAAACCGACACAGAAATCCAGAAAAAACTTCAGGATTCAATTTTTGCCACCTTCATCTTAATAACCACTCTCTCGTGTTATGATTATATCTAATTCAAGCAAAACTTTTAAAAAGTTATTAACAACATTACTAATAGTTTCAAATACACGTTGTACAGAAAAGAGCATTCCCAATAATGCAGAAATGTATATTTAAAAAAATATTAAAGAAGGAAATATAAAACGTAAAAATGTATCATTCATGAAATTATATTGCTATATTTATTTTTAATATTTAGAAGATACAAATTGCTTATTTATGGAACAAATATAAAATTACTAGAGCCTTTGAAATTGGTCCGCAAGTGTTCTAATCAATTATTTATTTCTTTTTATCCTCATCTTCGTCATCCTCATCCTCATCCTCATCTTCATCATCAGCTAACATTTCAACAGCCGCGTTACGGCCTAGTAGTTCTAATGGACTACTTTTGACAGCACCCAAAAGCTCAATATTTGCCTTGCCGTTTACATTACTAGCTAGGTGATCAATTTCTCCTGCGCGTCGTGCCATTCTATTGTGCACCCTACCAGGTGAGTGAACTCCTTTCGATTCGTAACTCGCTCTCCTGGCAGATACGCAACTCAACACAAGAATTGCGCTTACGAGAAGGAATAAAAGTTTCACCTAAAATTATTTTATTTAATAAAAAAATTTGGATAGCAAACCGATTTTTCACATACCATTTTAGCCATTGTTTCGGTTTCAAGTTTTCGTCTTTCAAATATTAATTTCAAGATGGGACTTGATAGGTGACTACCTTAGTACTGAACTCTTACAACTGTTGGAAGGGCTTTTATACTGATCGAGAATTGTAAAATTCAGATAAAAGTAAAATTTACTGATAACTAAAAACAGATGTTAATTAACTTCTAATATTCAATCACAGTTATAAGAAAATTTAATGTAAACTCATAACTGGAATTGATAAGTAGTCATAAAGAAACACATTACCTTAATCTCTGGCAATGAATAAAAATATCTGATAAATCTGTAAACAGCATTTTTTAAATTAATATTGAATATTTCCTGAAAAGATTTTATTGATAGTAACATTTTCTTTTTATTCAATATTGACATTTTTAAATTCCAACTGTTTTCTAATACTGGTACGTATTCCAATGATGATGAATATATTCGGATGATTGATAATTCTGAAGAATCATACATTATGAAGAATGATAAGCAGCGGAACATATTCATTGGTTAATATTTTCATTACTATTAAATGGAATATGTAGTATATGTACTGCTTCCAAGGAATCATCAGGAAAAGAATCATTCACTGTGAAAAATGAGAAGCATCGGAATATGTTCATTGGTTGATGATTTCATTACTATTAAGTGAAATATGTAGTATATATACTGCTTCAAAGGAAACATGAGGAAAAGAATCATTCATTGTAAAAAATGAGAAGCATCGGAATATGTTCATTGGTTGATAATTTCATTACCATTAAGTGGAATATAGGAGATCCTAGTATTTCACTAGACGGACTCGCAAGAGAGACTAATCCCAAGTACTCACTCCCTTCGAAAGGAGGGCCTAATGCGAGCCAAACCTGCACCTCTCCTATCCCTAAATATTCCTACCTATAATCACTCCAATATTCTAACTATATCCTTTCCCACTTTCATCTCCCCCCAATCCGTAATTACGCATGGACTTGTTTGCAGTCGAGAACAACAGGCTGTATTTTACCTTCGCACCTCACTGATACCTGTCCGCTTCAGTGAGTAACTGTGGGCTTACCGTTTTATCGGGGGCTATGACACGGAGGAACGCTTTTCCCCCTCACTCGTGGGACCTTCATATAACAGAATTTGAAAAATATGAAAAAACTAGCAGGACCATATACTGCAACTCAACTGGCAAATCGGTTGGATTCTAATATCCTACATACCGATCGCCAGGAAGTCTTTCCAAAACGGTAAGCATAAAAATGCACTGAGAGCAATGAAGCTTGGAACAAAACTAGATGTTTGCTAACTGAATTTAAAACTGAATATCAGTTACGAAAAGGAAGTCAAGGAACTGTGGGCTTGAAGATTGCACCGAAAGAGGTAACCGTCGAAACACCATTACCACAGCCCTTGACAAGCACTGGACTAACCTCCGGCCAAAGCTTTCACGACACCAGGAAATCTACTGGCTTGAGGGGTGCGGGTACCAAATGGTACTTACGCTATCTCAAAGAAGGCTTCACGCACAAATCCCAAAAACTGAAATGTAAACGGACAGGATGATTGTAAAGTATAACTTTACAAAAAACTTCAAAACTGAACTTAGCAATAAAAAGAATTCAGAAGGCTTGTCCAAACCCCAAATAATAAAAGAAAACATGATAACATGGTATACAGAC